GGTGCTGTTGCTGTCACCTTCCAGTGAGAGCAAGCTGCTGGCTAGATGGCGGGGCCCATATGAGGTCACCAGACAGGTCGGAACAGTCAACTATGAAATCCATATGCTGGACTGACCATCAACCCCCGTAAATGCGCCTTTGCCAATGAAGAGGCTACGTCATTGGGGGAGGTGTCATCCGCCCACAGCTGAGTAAGATCGAAGCGATTACCTCCTACCTCGTGCCAACCACAAAGAAGAAGGTAAAGTCCTTCTTGTGGTTAGTCAATTGGTATCGGAAGTTCATCCCTCAGCTGTCAGAAAGAGCAGTTGTGTTGACCAACCTCACCAAGGCCTCGGTACCAGCCAAAGTCCGCTGGAACGAGGACTGTGACAGAGCTTTCAAGGACCTGAAGCAAGCCATTACCACTGAGTCAGTCCTTCACGCACCAGACTTTAATCAGCTATTCACCGTTCAGACAGATGCCTCAGGGGTAGGCCTTGGAGCAGTATTGCTGCAGGAAGTGGATGGGGAGCTGAAACCGGTGGTTTTCCTCAGTCGGAAGCTGTTAGACAGGGAGACAAGTTACTCGACCATTGAAAAGGAGTGCCTGGCGATGAAGTGGGCCATCGACTCCCTGAGGTACTACCTTCTCGGATGGCAGTTCATACTGGAGACAGACCATCGTGCACTTCAATGGCTTCACAAGATGAAGGACGCAAACATGCGTATCGCGGGGTGGTACCTTGCCTTGCAGCCGTATAACTTTACGGTCAGGTACCGGCCGGGGAAGTCAAACCTGGTAGCTGACTGGTTGTCCCGCAGTCAAAACGGTTAGGACACTGTGCTTCCTGGGGAGAGGGGGAAGGAAATGTGACAAAGGTAACTTCGTCACTATGGACTGACGGCTTCGGGCCGGGTAATCTTGCACATGTGGGTTTGCACAGGACAAATGTCACTCAGCACTTTAGTGAACAGTTTGCACTTTATTAGCGGGATTTGCACAGTACAGGTAAACATTGCCTATTTGCACATGTTATGCTATTTATTGATGTAGTGTGTATTAAATGATTCAACCGTAGTAAATTGTGATGTCGTCTGGCAGACGCTGGTCGGGCTCTCGGCTCCACCTGGAAAGAAAGGGGAGTTATAGCGAGAGCGCCAAAAGTGTTGGTTTGGGTAGATTGACAGCGGTTGAGATTAGGTGCAAAGGATATGTTTAGTGTGTAAAGGTAATGATATAAGGTGCATTAATGGTACAAGTTACTCCTATAACAGTCAACATCATAAACACTCACCTCCGCCTGCTCTCCCGTCTCCGGTCCCAAGGTCCGTCATCGTAAAGGGTCCCCGGGGAAACAGTGGATCCTTTTTATCGTTCCGGATGGGGTTAAAGGAGCAGGTTGGAGGCAGGGGTGCTTTGTTATCATGTACATTTGGCTTGTTAGTTTATAACGGTTTTCTTTTCATACAGTAATTAAATATAATGTAAGTAAAGGATGTTTGTCATTCTCCACTAAATGTTTATTGTGAATAACTACGGTCCTTATCTGAGCGGACCATCTCTGCACATGCCACCCCTTTTGGATGGTACGGTCCAATGGGTGGGGCTATAAAGGGTGGCATGTTGGGCTCATTTGGGAGAGAAGAGTGTGGGAGACAGTCATTGGGGGATTTGATGTGGTCAACCATGTACCAAAGATGAATAAATACCCACACCGGGTTGTATCAAGACGTTCTGCCTCTGTCTCCTTACTTGGTCGGGCCGCTCACTTGTCAGCTTCACAGACTATCACGAAGCGAAGCGGAGAGAATACTTACTTCCGGGTGTAAAATTCTCTAAAGCAACTACTATGAGCTGCTTCGACCCTCGGTCCTGACGGACTCCAACGTGTGTTTATTAATCAAACAAATAAATAAACACAAGGATAATTATGTGTTATTGTTGAGTAAATAACAGTGTGTGGTTTAGAAAAGAATACAAAATTAGAAGGAAAAAACAATGAAACAATACAGATTTCAGTATTCTGAGCCCCTACTCTCCCCATAACTGACGGCAACAAATGTCCTACATTATTCAATTAAAATAAAGAAGTAAACACAATAGTGTGGCTTGATATTGGCTTGATATTGAGTAAGAAAAAGGTTGATAAACGCTGTGAGAATGGATCTGCGGCGAGCATTTCGCCGCGATCCCAACTCGTCTATTACCAACGTTCAGGGAGCTCTAAGCAAGTCAATGGGACGCCCTGCCCGTTGAAAACTGACTCTCAAGGGGTACCCTGTGCGTAACATAGTGACGGGGAGGGGCCCTGACCGCCCGTCAACATGTGACGGGTTGGGAGTGAGAACGTGTTGGGATAGAACACCCCCAGAAGAATCAGCATTTCAATTATTATAATACTACAAGTGAAAATATATGTAAGTATTGATCATTTGTGTTGTTTGTGCTATACGGTCTGTTTCTTTATTGTGTTAAGTGAGAAGTAAAGCTGTGCTATGAAAGTTAGCTTTTGCTACCTTTAGATCCATAACAATGCAAGCTAAGTAGCCTAACAGCAGGGACAGTTAGCTACAAAGCTAGCAGTGAGTGAGCGTTCAGACACCGGCGCACACTCAAACGGACTCGCGTGCCTGACTCTACCAACAGGCTTTCATGATTCTGTTTAGATATGCAAGTATAAGCGATGATAGCTTATTTTATTAACACGCTAATTTGATATGAAAATCAATGGAGGCTGAGTTTACTACTTCTCTTTGTAGGAAAACCTACCGTCCATGATGCCCCTGAGCTGTGTTTTATTTGTTAACTTCATATTTTTCATTTCCTAAAACATTTATGTTCCTCTCATATTAACAGTGTGGATCATTGAGACAGCATGGTGTCCAGAGGTCTTATCCCGTTTTCCCACTTCCTCTGAGGGGACAGCACGGAGGGGGGGGGGGGGGGGGGGGCATGAAGAAAGACCTGTACCAGCTTCATCCACGCGTTGCTGTTATCGCTGGCTCAGTGTCATCTCATTTGACCAAATGTCTTTACATATACATTTTAATAGATTTTATTATTATCCACCTTCTTCTTTTATGTCCTTTTATTTAAAACCTTTGAGACTCCTTTGAGACTTCATCTTCTGGTTCAAATTTCAATAAATGTAATTTGTATAATCACTCTTTTGTCTTTATTCTACATGAAAATGTTAGAGATTCCATTCAAATCTGTTGATTATTCATATCTTCCGCAGGCTAGGAATAGTATGTCGAATTTGTAATGCTAAATGTATATCATTTTCTCACAGGATATAGAATGAAACAACACCGTTGTTATCCATTGTGTATGAATGATTCAGCTCTTCAGACCAACATAGTAAGATGTGAGCATGTTCCTAATTGTGTTGGTATGCAGCCTACACTGTAAAAAAACGGTAAAAATCTGGCAGCTGGTGCTTCCAAAAACTTACTGTCAAATTACAGTGAAATACCCTAATTTCAATAATGGGAAAAAAACGTAAATTCACAGTAAATATAATGAATTTCCTTTACAGAGAAACACTGTTATTTTACAGGTATCTTCCCTTGTTTATTACGGACATAATTTAGAGTTAAGCATGTAAAAACTGTTATTTTACGGTTTTATCCTAAATTATTACGGTCAAACACCTTCAATAAAGTGACAGAACTTAAAGTTCAGCAGTGAAACACTGTTATTTTACAGGTGTATCTGCTCTTTTTACAGTCAATAACCTTCAATAAAAGTATAGCACTAAAACTTCTACGGGCAAAAAACGGTCAAATGACTGGGAGCAGCAGGCTGCCAAACAAAAACCATAACATTAAAGTAAAAAAACTGAAATAAAGTGCAAAAGCAATTAATATACAGCAATTGTCCTTAAAGATTTTACAGGAAAACACTTTCCTCTCTTTTCAAAATCCATTGTCTTAAAATGTTACATTCAAATACCTTAAATAAAGTTCTGATGAGAAAAACTGTTTTTTACATATTTTTTTTATTAGATTTGTATGATCTTACACCAACATAAATACAGAACCTAAAGTTCTACAGCTAGAATACTGTTATTTTACAGCTTTTTTCTAACATTTTCCAATCAAACAGGTTCAACAAAATGACATCACAAAATGTTCTGTAGGAAACAATTACTCTGAAAACTTATATATAAAAATATTTGTAGAATTATAGAACTAATGAATACAGCATTTCATATTTAAACATCATACTTATAAACAGTAGAAACAAAAAGTAAGTAGAATTTTGTTAAGATTACTTTGAAACATTCTCAACTGAAAATAACAAGATTTACAAAATGGCGACATATGTTCACATTGTCCATTTGAAGGAGCAGTGTGCAGGATTTAGTACGTCTAACATTGGGGATGTAGGTTCCAACCAATGGATTACTTGTTCACTCACCCTCCTATCCAAAGTCTGTTGGAGAATGTATGTTGGCTGCAAAAAACATGAGGCCCAATCATGTTTCCTCTGTCCATTCTGCGCTACTGTAGACGTGGCAGTGCAACCTTATAGAGGACAAACAGATCAGAATCAGAAACGGGTTTATTGCCAGGTAGGTTCACACGTATGAGGAATTGCACTAGGTGTCGTGGTGCATACATACAAATAAAAAAAAGTACACAGATAGCAAACTATATTAAGAACACTAATACAAATATAGTAAGATAGCAATAAAATAAAGCAGTAATTTACATCGAAATAGAATGCAATAAATTATAGAATATAAAATATGTGCAGTAAGCAATATTTAAACATTGCATTATTTACCATCCTGTGATCTCCATTATGTAATGCATAGAGTCTGCGTTGTGGCTGAGGTAAAGTGTCAGTGGGGGGAGCGGGCCTTGTTGAGGTGGAGAGAGGTTTTGGTCCTGATGGAGAGAGGTTCTGGTCCTGATGGAGAGAGGTGTTGGTCCTGATGGAGAGAGGTGTTGGTCCTGATGGAGAGAGGTTCTGGTCCTGATGGAGAGAGGTTCTGGTCCTGATGGAGAGAGGTTCTGGTCCTGATGGAGAGAGGTGTTGGTCCTGATGGAGAGAGGTTCTGGTCCTGATGGAGCGCGGAGGGGAGGGGAGTGAACAGTTTGTGTCCAGGGTGGGAGGGGTCGTCCACTATCTTCCCGCCTCAGGGTTCTGGAGGCATGCAGGTCGTGGAGGGATGGCAGATTACAGCCGATCACCTTCTCTGCAGAGCGGATGACACGCTGCAGCCTGCCCTTATCCTTGGCTGTGGCTGCAGTGTACCAGATGGTGATGGAGTATCCTCGGCTGTGCTTTTTTGGTGAGGGAGCAGATGTTCTGCTCCCGTTTGAGGTCCTGGGCGATGATGGTGCCCAGGAAGCGGAAAGATTCCACAGCAGTTACTGGGGAGTCACACAGAGTGATGGGGGGGGGTGGGTGGGGCTGCGTTCTTCCTAAAGTCCACAACCATCTCCACTGCCTTGAGAGCGTTGAGCTCCAGGTGGTTTTCCCCACACCAGGTCACCAGATGGTCCATCTCCCATCTGTAGGCAGACTCGTCCCCACCAGAGATGAGTCCGATGAGGGTGGTGTCGTCTGATCTTCAGGAGCCTGACAGACTGGTGACTGGAGGTGCAGCTGTTGGTGTACAGGGAGAAGAGCAGAGGGGAAAGAACGCAGCCTTGAGGGGAACCGGTGCTGATGGTCCGGGAGTCAGAGAGGTGTTTCCCCAGCCTCACGTGCTGCTTCCTGTCAGACAGGAAGTCTGTGATCCACCTGCAGGTGGAGACGGGCACGTGCAGCTGGTAGAGCTCGTCCTGCAGCAGAGCCGGGATGATGGTGTTGAAGGCGGAGCTGAAGACCACAAACAAGATCCTGGCGTAGGTTCCTGCTGTGTCCAGGTGCTGGAGGAGGAAGTGAAGTGATAACTATTAGTAAACCATAATGATGGATGTTATTATCAGCAGCTGCCAATAGATCCCCTACATCTTGTATGGTGGACCTTTGAAGCAGGGTTACACAAAACACACAAAATTGTAAAACAGTTATTGAGAGCATCCCAAGGGCATTGATCCTATGCTAAACCTTCCAGTACACCAACTTTCTAATACCGTAAAAACGACACCTAGCCGTTGGCACAAATGTAATGCTTCAGCTTCCTACAACTTTAAAGCTGTGTGGACGTGGCTCTATGAAGAGTCGTTCATATTTTCTCATTATTTCATAAGTTTAGAAGGGGTAACAACAGTTACCTTTTGTTAATTTTACCTCGAGCCAAACTTGTGCGACTTGTTTCTGAAATCCCTTTCTCTTAAAGTGAATACATAAAATAAAAAAACAGTGGAGCTTACCCTAAAACTAACCACTGGATAGGGTTAACCCTAACCCATATATATTTTTGTATTATTATTATTTTTTTAAATATATATCATATAGCACCAAATTGCAACTAATCTATATCTACGGTCACTTTTCACATTGAACATGAGCTCTTTTATTAAATAAACTAAACGCTTTCATTTTAAATTGAGTTTAGTGTTTTTGACCCTAAGAAACACTGTTGCATTAATCAATAACAATAATCCACAGCTCCTCTCTCTGCTCCAGAGGATTTAAAGAATATATTAGGGATCGACCGATATGGCTTTTTCAAGGCCGATACCGATACCAATTATTAGTAATCAAGGAGACCGATAACCGATATTTGGAACCGATATACATTTGCAGTAAAAAAAAAAATCTTGGTGTCAAAATGTCGAATAACACAAACTCCAACACAACTCAACACAACTTATTTGAAATGCATTTAAGCATAGCCTATATTATGTTTAATTAACTTTTAAACATCTTACAACTGGTTTCCTCTCTGTGCCCTTTTCTTTAGTGCAGTCCTCTGCGATGAGTTAGAGAGAGACGAGAAGTGGGGCTGCAGGCTGACATGCTTAACTAACAATAATGCTTAATTTATTATATATGTCTATCTAGCATAAAATCCCAATAAACTGCTAGCAACTGTAAAACACTAGTGCTAGCTAATGTTTTGCAAACTATTAAAAGTGAGGCTATTACAGTAGACCTAACGTTAGTCTAGTAGCCTCACTTCTAATATTTTGCTAAACATTTGCTAGATACATGTTGGCTAGCTAATGAGCTTCACATATCAACCTGAAAAACTGCGAGGCTCCACTCACAGCCCCTCCCCCCCCCCTCCGCACCACAGTTACTCCGCTGCGAGACGCTGCACGCACCCCCAACTCTGACTGACTTCTCGCGTCCCTGTGTAACTGGGAAACTGATAGAATTGGATCATAAGATCGTGGTGTTTTTGCAACTTCAGCATAGTGGATAGGGATGTTTGTTGAACTTCGGTTTAACACATGTATGGCTCTGCCGCTCAGCGCTGCTGCTTGCTTCAGCCTGTGTCTGCGTTCTTTCGCACCTGCCTGTAATCTGAGAAGGTCCCGCCTCTCTGGCTGGCTCCCGCCCGGAACATCTTCAGTAATAGCCTATCAGATAGCGCTGTGGGCGGGACATTGCTCGTGTACACAGAGTGGTGACTGCAGCCAGAGAAACGGCCGCATCAGAGCCAAAGTTTTATCGGCAATTTGATTTTAAAAAAGGCCAATACCGATAATCGGTCAAATGCGGAATATCGGCCCCGATAATCGACCCCTAGAATATATCAGCAGTAAACCTAGGGGAAACACTGACATTCAATATTATGTTAGAGACAAGTTAGTTATTACTCACATATCAAAGTCTTTTCATCTGCAAGATGGACGAATAGCTGGGTGCTGCCTGGAGAGACTGATGAGGAGTCACCGGCTGGCTTCTGCAGCTTTCCACACAAAGCCATCACATGTTCTGTTCCATAGTCTTCACTGTCCACTGGTGCTCTGTCAAAAGAGTGAACATCACAGCTGTCATGGTAACCCTTTGTTACACAACATACAACCAACATGCATCAAAAGTGACCCAAATTAGTTTAAATTGTAAATATCTTTGCAATAAATTACCTCCTCAATTAACCTGTTTTGATCAACACCAATTCTCATTTGAACTTTCTTACTTTTTTAAATAAAAATCATGTTTGTATCACTACACTTCTAAGGCACAACATGGGTAAAAAATTATCCGTATTATTTCCTATGTGATTCCTAGTGTTTCTTTAAATACATTGTTTTTGATTACCACAAATCATTATTTTAATTCTCCAGTTCTAATTGATTAACTAAAATAGTTTATGCCAAGTGTGATACAAATGCAAAAAAATAAAGATACTTTAATGATAATTTTGTTAAAAATAATAATTTTAGCAGAGATTTGGACCAAGCATGTATGATGTAGTAATACAACAACTATTTTAGTTCACACAGTGTGACATTAGCTAGTCATGTTAGCTTGTAATATACAGAGCAGAGCTAACTAGCAAGTTAGCCAAACGTTAGTGGTTAGCAGTTTATGCTATGATAGCTGTTGGCTACTGAACATTAACTAACTGGATTGCGCTGTAAAAAAGCTGTGAAACTTTACAATACGATTGGCGACAACACTGTGACACCCTGCTGCACGTTTATGTGTAATCGTCCCGCGTTGGAGACGAGAGGATGGCGGCAGCACTGCAATAAGCTGTAAACTAACGTTAGCAGCCACCTTGTTAACCTGTAGCCTATAGCCCGATTGTCCCGCCGGTGGGACATCTTGCAAGAAACAGCATCTCAGGACTTCTTAAAATGTACTAACAACCTATTAATGATGCTTACCTACTTAACGGGAAGAAACTCAGCTAACTGACTATATTAACCATTTTTAACTAAACGAAACACAAGTCTAACAGCTAACGGGGCTAACGCTACTTTAGCACATAACTGGCAAAAGCGATCTTTTTTACTTCATGCTATCTGCACAAACGTATCATATGAAAGCTGAGATTCCACAGATTCCCTTAAAATATATGTCTCATCACTCAAAACTCACTGAACTAGAAGAAGAAACGTAACCTTAAATACACAGTTAAACATTCACAAACTAAGGATTATCTAAATACATGTTTAACTCCATTACAGTTGCAGGACTCACCAGATCTCAAGTCTTCTGTTCTCTGTGGACGTCCCGATGCTCATATTTAACGTGTAGATGTAAAACTATCCCGATATTAGTCCATAAACTCGTGAGCAGACATACAGACAGCTCTGTAGCTCCGCAGGAGAGCCGCTCAAACTGACGTGAAGTTTCAAATTGGATTGAAAGGCGCGGACAGTGCTCATTGGCAGGTTTTTTCGATGACGTTTATATCAACCAATCAGGAGTGTTGTGGACTCATTCCAATCCTGTTTGTCTTGTCTGCCGTTGTATGGCTGGATTCCATTTTAAGTGCCGTAGCTTTTTACATACATTTTACGTTTTTTTTATTTGACACTTTTTTTTTTACAGTTAACTATTTTAGTATACTATGAAAACTACTTTATTTACACAAAATCATTTTTGGGTATTTCTGCAATATATTACATTTTTTGTGAAGATGTATACATTTATTTAACATTTTAGAGATGTTTTATAATAAGATTTCTTTTTATTCTACAACAGTACAGAATAGTTTTTTTTTTTTGTTTACATTTTGTTACATTAAATTGAAGGTTTTACTGCAAAAAAAAAAAGAAAGTTGCCTTCATTTTACAGGCAGTAAAATGATGTGTATTTTATGTGTTTTTACATAGAATTCAATGTAATTTAACATTCAAGACAATTAAACAATGGAATTACCCTGTAAAAAAACGATGATTTCTCATCAAACCAATTTACAGAATAAAACCTTTATTTATTTTAAATAAAAGTAATTTACTGTATTTTTATGGTATTTACACGTAATATAGAAAAACAAGAAAGGTCTGTAAAATAATACAGTACATTTCTGTGAAAAAACATTTTTTTTTGACAGTGTAGGTCTGCTCTGTTTCATAAAGCAAATCTGCCACTTTTATATTGTAGAATTTGTTAATTTAAAGCAGTCTTTAATTGTTTGTCCTAAACATAGCAATATATGCTTTTGAAATGTAACATGTCTTTGAAAAATAACAGTATACAGTTTATATTGTGCATCACCTTTAGCTTGAAAATACATAGATGTGTTTTTTTATCTATAAAATAAATAAATAGACAAGACAGACACTTTATCAATCCTAAATTGGGAAATAATTTTACAGCAGCAGTGTGTTCAGGTATTACAATATTTAAAGTTGGAATAAAGTATAAACTACACCACACAAGTATAATGCACTGCAATCCATAAGATAAGTCCGATATGTTCATGAAAACTCCCCAGGAGACACCAACACTAATGTGGCCGAGTGGACTCCGTAGTTTGCTGCCTGAGTTGCACTGTATGATCTGTGGTGTCACTTAAAAGCTGAGTAGCCAATGGGGACACCCCCCTGAAAGTCCCGCCCACCTGGGAGGTTTGTGTCAAAATCTAAAGCAAAAAATGAGGGAGCGCAAACGAGAAGAGCTGCAGCGAGAGCAAAAGTCTGATCATTGAGAAAGAAACAAAGAGAACTGCAAATATATGGAGGACGGAACATGACTTAAGTATAAATAAATAAATGTATGAAGAAATACAGGAATAAATAAATAAATACGTAAATAAATACAGGAATAAATAAATACAGGAATAAATAAATGACGAAATAAATACAGAAATAAATAAATGTTGAAATGAATACACAAATAAATAAATAAAAGAATAAATGCATAAATAAATGCATAAATAAATATGGAAATAAATACATCAATGTATAAATAAATAAATAAAAGTCGAAAATAAAACAGAACACACGTTATTATTAGGGCCGGGACTTTAACGCGTTAATTAAGATTAATTAATTACACAAAAATTAACGCGTTAAAAAAATTAATGCATTTTAATCGCACTTATTTTTGCACCGCGGAACGTTTCTCACTAGATGAGTTTCAGGCGTACCGATTATACTGGAGCACCAACTAACGTTCATGACTTCAGACAACAACAAACCACAGTGAACAACAGTGGGAAATGTTGTTTTAAAAAACGGACGGATGGAAGCGTCGATAAGAGCACGGTTGTGTGCAAATTATGCAAAAAGAAATTCGCATATCACCGCAGCACATCAAGCCTCAAGTATCACCTCAATGCAAAACATATAGCAGCTAGCGTGGAAGCTAGCGTGGACGTTAGCCTCTTTTATCGCGTTCACACCAAAAAGAGCCGGTACTAAAATTAGTTCATGAGAACCTTTTTACCCCCACGAAAGTCCCTGCTAGAGAGCAGAGAGCTGCTAGAGAGCAGGGACTTTTGTACGGCTCTCTTGTGAGAAAAGAGCTAATTTCTGATTGGCTGGGCGGATTGCAAACCACGCCCCGTAAAACTCCCAAAAAGTTTTGTGAAGCCGCCATTTTATTATCCTCGCATTAGCATTATTAGCATTAGCCCAGCGCAGAAACGCAGAGAGACTAACTTATGGCAACACAAAATAAAACATGGGAGCGGTGGAGATGAGGAGGTGTCGGCGTTCTGGCGATTTACTCGGAAGGCTGCAGTAGAAGCTGCTGGGACTCCCAGCAGCTTCTACTGAAGCCAGTCCCCAACTCCAGGGACTTCCGGCCGGGGACTTTGGGCGGCAGTATACGCCGTGAAGTGGTTTGCGGCCTGCCAGTAAACCCAAAGCAGAAGAAGAAGAAGAAGAAGAAGAAGAAGAAGAAGAAGAAGAAGAAGAAGAAGAAGAAGAAGAAGAAGAAGAAGAAGAAGAAGAAGAAGAAGTGACGTCAGCGGCTTCATTTGCCTAATCCACCCCCAGATTCAAAGAGTTCTCATGAACCTTTGTGGGAAAAGTACTGCGGTGTGAATGCGCCTAATGGTATACTAAAATCCATGTGAAAAAAGTTGCTTCTCACTGTTCTTAGGTCAAATATGTATATGTGATTAAAAATGCGATTAATTTCGATTAATTAATTACAAAGCCTCTAATTAATTAGATTATTTTTTTTAATCGAGTCCCGGCCCTAGTTATTATATATATTTCATTTATTTCTACATTTATTTATTTATGTATTTATGTGTCCGTATGCTAATGAGGTGGGCGGTCCTAACCTCAGTCTGAAGCAGGATTGGTTACAGGAGTGTGTGATCATTTCTGGCAGAGGGCTCTACTACTAACGCCTGGATAACCGCGCTGATTCGAATGCAGGAGCTTTACTGTTTAGCCCTTATCTTTATACATCCATGGTTTATCCACAGTTGTAAGGTTTATTTATGGATATTGATTTAAGAGCCATTGGAGATCATTTACGAACATTAGCGGACCATTTAGAGAACGGAGAACCAAAAGACTATGTCCAGTTTCGTGTGGAACGATGTATAGAGGACTTGTCTCAGCTCGACATGATGTGACTTGCCACAAATCTATTGCTTCTGCCTGGCTCCAACAATTGGCGAATCCTGCTTCAGACTGAGGTTAGGACCGCCCACCTCATTAGCATACGGACACATAAATACATAAATAAATAAATGTATGTCGCGTAAATGTAGAAATAAATGAAAGATATATAATAACTAGGGCCGGGACTTTAACGCGTTAATTAAGATTAATTAATTACACAAAAATTAACGCGTTAAAAAAATTAACGCATTTTAATCGCACTTATTTTTGCACCGCGGAACGTTTCTCACTGGATGAGTTTCAGGCGTACCGATTATACTGGAGCACCAACTAACGTTCATGACTTCAGACAACAACAAACCACAGTGAACAACAGTGGGAAATGTTGTTTTAAAAAACGGACGGATGGAAGCGTCGATAAGAGCACGGTTGTGTGCAAATTATGCAAAAAGGAATTCGCATATCACCGCAGCACATCAAGCCTCAAGTATCACCTCAATGCAAAACATATAGCAGCTAGCGTGGAAGCTAGCGTGGACGTTAGCCTCTTTTATCGTGTTCACACCAAAAAGAGCCGGTACTAAAATTTGTTCATGAGAACCTTTTTACCCGCACGAAAGTCCCTGCTAGAGAGCAGAGAGCTGCTAGAGAGCAGGGACTTTCGTGCGGCTCTCTTGTGAGAAAAGAGCTATACGTCTGATTGGCTGGGCGGATTGCAAACCACGCCCCGTAAAACTCCCAAAAAGTTTTGTGAAGCCGCCATTTTATTATCCTCGCATTAGCATTATTAGCATTAGCCCAGCGCAGAAACGCAGAGAGACTAACTTATGGCAACACAAAATAAAACATGGGAGCGGTGGAGATGAGGAGGTGTCGGCGTTCTGGCGATTTACTCGGAAGGCTTCAGTAGAAGCTGCTGGGACTCCCAGCAGCTTCTACTGAAGCCAGTCCCCAACTCCGGGGACTTCCGGCCGGGGACTTTGGGCGGCAGTATACGCCGTGAAGTGGTTTGCGGCCTGCCAGTAAACCCAAAGCAGAAGAAGAACAAGTGACGTCAGCGGCTTCATTTGCCTAATCCACCCCCAGGTTCAAAGAGTTCTCATGAACCTTTGTGGGAAAAGTACTGTGGTGTGAATGCGCCTAATGGTATACTAAAATCCATGTGAAAAAAATTGCTTCTCACTGTTCTCAGGTCAAATATTTATATGTGATTAAAAATGCGATTAATTTCGATTAATTAATTACAAAGCCTCTAATTAATTAGATTAATTTTTTTAATCGAGTCCCGGCCCTAATAATAACGTGTGTTCTGTTTTATTTTCGACTTTTATTTATTTATTTATACATTGATGTATTTATTTCCATATTTATTTATGCATTTATTCTTTTATTTATTTATTTGTGTATTCATTTCAACATTTATTTATTTATGTATTTATTTCGTCATTTATTTATTCCTGTATTTATTTATTCCTGTATTTATTTATTTATTACATATTTATTTATTTATTCCTGTATTTCTTCATACATTTATTTATTTATACTTAAGTCATGTTCCGTCCTCCATACAAACAAAAACCTATGTTAAAACAATGAAAAAAGACTTATAGTTTACATAATTACACAAATGATTTGTTTGCAACTTATAGTTTTATTTTTTAAATTAAATAAATGTTGCTTGACTAAATGTGTTTCTCTCTTAACCCTTGTGCCCTCCTTGGGCATTTTTGTACATTTTTCCTGACTTTTTTTTTTTAATTTGGTGATCATTTCAGCTGTGTTACAGCTTTTCGCATGGAAT